ACAGGCAAGTCACCATTTCCACCCACACTTAAAAGGAAGAAATTCTACAAGACTGGGACTCTTTGGGTAGTCATTTTAGGGTGTGTTGGCTACAAGAAGTAAGAAACTCAAGGCAGTGATTATATTGTGCAGACTTGACTGAGAAGAAAACAACATAGGCCTGTAATTATGGGAAATACAGGATCAAGAAAGAGCTTGGGATATGTATGTATGTGTTTGTTTTTGTCAGTTAGCTCTTGCTGCTTAACAAACCATGCCAATATTTAGTGTTTTAAAACACAATTTTTTTTAGCTCAGAAATCTGCTGGTCAATAATTTGGGCTGTTTTCAGCTACATGGTTCTGCAGATATGGGCTAGATTCAATTAATCTTTGCTGTGACCTACCTATGTCTGTGATTGGCTGTTGGGTTAGCTGGTGGCTGGTTAACTGTCTGGTGGCCAGGTAGTTGTCTGCTGAGATGGGGTCTTATATCTTCCAGTAAACTAGGCTAAGCTCATCCATATTATGGCAGTGTTCTGCATGCAACAAGCCAGTAAACCTCAATGCACAGGTGTTTTTCAAGACACTGCTGCTTGTATTGCATTTGATGATATTGTATGGGCCAAAACAAGTCATTTGGCTACCTAGATACTGGTGGAACAAATGACTTTCTGAAAGAATGAAAAAGAATGGAGAATTGTGACTACTTTTACTACTCACCACAGTGATATTTATTATTATGCTTTTAGAAGAGTGAATTTCTGTTTTATATCTATGTTAGGATCAGGGAACTAGGAAAAAAATAAAAAATAAAATAAAAATAATAAGTACATAGGATAGGGGAATAACCGACGAAATGAGATTTCTAAGAGGTCAAGAGCTGCTGTGATTCATAGTACACAGGAGAATTCACCTTTAAAAAAGTGAAAGGTTTTTTCATTCACCTTCCTTAGAAAAAGGGAAAGGGAATAGAGGTGATTTTACCAAAATTCATTTTCCTGGTAATCTTGATTTTCCTTGGAGTAAAGAAATGTAGGCCATCTGTTGAACATAATGGGAGAAATAGTAGGTTAAGGGTTTGTGGAGAATGTGAAGTTTTTGGAAAAGCTGTTCATTAGAACAGTAGAGGAAGGCAAGGTCAAAATAATAACAACAAAAAGAAAACACAAATCAACCAACCAAAAAAGGGAGAGGTACAGGGCCCAGCTGAGACTATAGACATTGAACTTGTGCTTTCACCAATCCCCAGTAACTCAACCAACCAGTATGTGAATCGAGAAAGCCCCTCCTTCTGTAGGTGAATTCAGTCCCACTCGGCTGTTGCCCTTGTGTAGGATGCAGTTTGAAAAACAGGTGCAGTGGTCCTGCCAATTAACAAGTGGTATCACTTTTTTCTCAGAGCAACTTTAAGTAGACTAGATTTAGAAACATAATGACAATTGCTGGAATTGCTTTAAGAATGAAGGTTTGCCAAATTGATTGGCAAGAGAACATTGGTAAGAAACCTCAGTATCTAGAATGTTGACAATGCTGGCATGAAGGTTGAGATTTAACAAAGTATTACTGAAACTTAAAAAATAGAGATGAGGAGTATGAGACTGGATAGCAAGAGAGGGGCTTTGTCATGAAGGAAAGGTCTTTAGTTCATGGTAGACACAAAGAAAACACTGATGAAGTCTTAAGCATAGGTGATCAGATTTTAAAAGTTCAATCTGGTGATAGGTTAAATGGAGTGCAAGTCGAAGTAAGAACACCAGAAAAGATTATTTACTCTTTTAAAGATTAGGTTTCTGCCTCGTGTAGCTGTACAAAATCAGGAGGGAGAGGCGTTGTATAACTACAAATTCAGGAGGGAGAGCACAACTATATGCAATCCACATCTGGTGCTCTCAGAATCTCGGGAACTATTCAAGACACTAGGTATCAGGTCAGTCATTTCAGTTTTCATTCAAATGCTTTCAGATCTCACAGAAATATCAGGGAAAACTGAATATATATAGGAGCAGTTCATTTTAGGTTTACTAAAAATACAAGGCAGTTCTACAGTAGAGATTGGTTGTTAAAATAACTAATGGTCTTTAACATATAGGATCTGAGAGTGAATTTATGATTAGGATCATCTACCTAATGATAGGAGCACATTGCATCTTTGGTTACTGAGATTATTGTGAATGTTTTCCAGAGTTCTGGATAGTCTTTCTAGGAGAAGAGAGTTTTGAACATGACTTTAGAGAGTTTTGAAAATGGCAAGGAGGCTTCCAGCATAGTTCTGAGGACTGGAAAAACGGTCATTGGTAACTCTAGAGTGGTGTTTGAAGCAAAGGAATCAATACAGATGCAGTAAGAAATAGTGTAAAGAAGACCCAGAACAGCCTTGAGGGAGAAGCAATTAAAGCGTCAGTAACAAACCTTGAGAACAGCATAGAAGATTATGAATGGGAGAGGAAGAAGACATGGAAATAATTTATATTAAATAGATGCCAATAGAGACCTTTGGCATCACTAATAAGGGATTTATAGGAAGGGGTAAAATGAAGGACTGATTCTGAGCTCCTGAGAATTTGACAGGTGCCCATTTTTTCTTTCTGCATACATATTTTCCTGCCTTTACTTTCTCTTTTTAAAAACATATTAATTAGAGAAATTCAGGAAAATCATTCTTTTTATTAAAAAGAAATCCTTAACCCCTGGAAATTTTATTAAAATATGGTGTCACATTTTTATATTAGTACAAATTAGAATAACATGGTGGTATTTTTGCAAGTTAAAAATGAGTATGTTGCATATTCTTATTAATATATTAAACAAGAAAAGAATTATATGAAGATTAATATAAACATGGTAAACATCTTTAGACTTTGCAGACCCTTTCTGTTAGAAGTTCCTCAATAATCAATGTTTTAAATGTATTAAAACATTTAATAAAATTCTGAGTTATTTATATTAGGTAAAATATTAACATAGTAGAATGTTTGGTCATTAGAAGCCATCATTTTGAGGAAGTTGGAGAGGTTAGTCTTTTCCTCTGAATGAGACCCTAATAATTACAATTAACAATTATGATCTTAACACGGTGATAATTTGATGAATATTCAGGGTAAATAATTGAGTTTTTCATATACATTAAAGTTATTTGGAAACAACAGAACTGAAAAGGTAAGATTTTTGTGACTGCTGTTATTAATTTACAGAATTATTTACCAAACAGCTATTCTAGGCTTAGTACAACAAGCAAAGACACACTACACAGCCTAGAAATGTTTCTATGTTCTTTTAATTAGAAGAGATCAATCATAGGAAATAAGTAGAGAAGACTTTTCATTTGTGGTTAAAAAAAAATCCTTGAATATACTATTTACCCTAAGAGAACAATCTCTTAATGACATATTTAACTACAAATGATTGTGTAACTCCAAATAAGACATCGTCATTCTTGCAGTGACAGAAACATTCAGCTGCCCAGCTAGTAGTGTTTGGATTTAAATATATCTCTAACCACATGGATCAGTTACATAAACATTGGCTAAGCAGACTCGTTTCTAAGTAAAACTTACATGAGTGAATTGCTAAACTTTCTTCCTTTATTTGATTGAATTCTGCTTGACTTTCAATTGCCTCTGATTTTCCCATAATCTGGGTTATGCCAAGATATTTAGGTATTATTTATGTAGCAAGAATTCTTTCGTGTTGCAAAGATACATATAAATTTACATATAAAAGAAAGGAGCATTTTGGGTATGTTTCCTTAGAAACTTAAAAGTTTGGGATGAGTTGTTTGAATTTGAAAGTTTTAAATATTTCTAGACTTAAAACTATATGGTACGAAACCTCTATTAGGTCTAATGGAAATCGTACAGTGTTATAAGCAAAATCAAGAAATATCTTTTACATTATTTGTAAAGATTTTGCTAAGTTTGATTGTTATGTTTATATATATATTCCTGCTATGTGCTTAATGCAATATCTATATGTAAGTCTTAATATTTATTGATATTTTGATTGACTGATATTCTCTAAATTCTTTATTATACATGCACGTTTATTCTTTTGTATACTGTCATAAATCAATGACTTTGAAGGGAAACCTCTGTTTAAAAGGTATTCAAATTATTTATAACTTCAGTACTTAAAGTACTAGGTGATTTTTAAAATGGCACAAGACTACATACATCCAGTTGTTTCACAGGCTCTCCCTGGCTTCTCTTGTAAAATGATCAATTGTTCTTTATTTCTTTTTTTATTTGGATTGGTGGGTTTTGTTGCTTCAGGTGGATTGTATTTGTAAAGTGTTCTGGCTTCTTTTGATATAAAAGACAGCCTATTTCTTCCAACAAAACCCAAATAATTTGTTAAATGTTCATTATATGTTCATGTTAAATGTTTATTCTGGCAAATAGTTGGGAAAATTAAGCTAAAACTTCCTGTCTAATTTGGGCTTTGCTTTCAGTCTCTCAGTTTATCATTCTGTGTTGATATTGGGTTATTTCATCTTTTGAATTCTGGGCACTTTTCCAACTTCACAGCATGTAGGAGTTAAGTAGTAGAAACTCTTAGAATTTTAAACACTTGAAGTGTGTTAAATTTTTTTTTAAGGCTTGTAGTCATTATTATAATATTATGGTTTATATTCTTACAATGGAAGAAAATCATTTTCCAAAGTGAAATTTGCAATTTATACTGATGGTGATTTAAATCTTTCCAAATCACACAATTCAAAATTAAGATAACTATTTTAGATCCTGTCAATGAATTATCTTCCAACTATGCAGTACAATTTTATATTGATTTCATTCTGCGGAATAAATGAGGTATAGGATGTAATACTTCACAGCTTATTTGTATCTTATTTCAAATTCAGAGCAAGGCCTCATTAGCAAAACGAATTTCCTTCATTTTTATGGAGGTTTAAGATGTGTTCTTTTGTGTAAGTTGTTTGCATAATCGCACAAGTGACAAGAATATGTTAATCGTTTCACAAATAATGTCCTATTTCAATCTGTCTATTTCTCTTTCCTCTAGTTAACTTCTTCTCCCACTACCTCTGAGCAGCTTGCCTGTAAACCACCTGCTTTCTCCTTTGTTTCTCCAACTAATCTGAACACACCACCCGACCCAGATAACCTCGAGGGAGCCTCTGTCCTAGAGGAGTTCCACACTAGGAGGCTGGATGTCGGTGGGGCCGTGGTGGAAGAATCAGCTACGTATTTTCAAACTACCACTCACTCTTCACCCTTTTCTGCATCGAAGGGCACCTGCTCGACGTTACTGTTTCCCCATTCCACTCAACTATCACGTTCTAACTTACCCAGTTCAACTGCAGCAGATCCAAAGTTTGGACTGACTTCCGAAGTTCTGAAGAAGACACCTGTCACCTCACATGTCCTTAGTAGTGGAGAAAGTCCGAAAACCTCTTTTCTTCCACCGTCCTCCAGTGCTTCTCTGAAGACGAGTTCAGCCTCCTACATCCCAGTCCGCATTGTCACGCATTCACTCTCTCCGAGCCCCAAACCATTTACTTCCTCTTTCCATGGCTCTTCTTCTACCATCTGCAGCCAAATGTCATCTAGTGGAAATCTTTCAAAGTCAGGGGTAAAATCCCCGGTGCCCTCCCGGCTTGCCCTTCTCACTGCCATTCTCAAGTCAAACCCTTCCCACCAAAGACCCTTTTCCCCTGCGTCCTGTCCCACCTTCTCTCTAAACTCCCCGGCCTCTTCCATGCTCACACTTGATCAAAAACCAAAGCAGACCCCACCCACGCCTAAAAAGTCTCTCTCAAGTTGTTCCCTGAGAGCTGGGTCGTCAGATCAAGCGGAACACCAGGATTCTGAGTTGACCCAGCAATCTTTTCGCCTGCCTGTTTTCACCCAGTCTACTCCCCTTTCTCAGGATCCCTCCCTCTCTCCTACAAAACAAGCTAGTAGCAACCTTGCTTCCCTGAAGGTAGAGACAACACCATTACCCACTTTGAAGAGTGATAAAATGCTCTCCCTGCTACAAACCAGTGCAATCAGTTCTGTGGGTTTTCCTCCTGTTCCTCCAAGCTCTTCTCTTTCCTCTTTAAAGAGTAAACAGGATGGTGACCTCAGAGGTCCAGAAAACCCCAGAAACATTCATACATACCCTTCTACATTAGCCTCCTCTGCATTATCTTCTCTATCCCCTCCTATTAATCAAAGAGCTACACTGTTTTCTTCAGAGAAGTGTTTCCATCCTTCCCCAGCTCTTTCAAGCCTGATAAACAGATCTAAAAGAGCATCATCCCAACTATCTGGCCAGGAGCTGAATCCTTCAGCTCTTCCTTCAGTCCCTATCTCCAATGCTAGCTCTGCCTCTCTTCCCAACTTGAGGTCCTCCTCTCTCCCTTGTGCCAATTTGCCCACCCAGACACCCTACCTCAGTCCCTCAGCACTGTACCCACATTGCGGCAGTGGTACCCTGCCTTCAAGACTTGGGAAATCTGAAAGCACCACCCTCAACCACAGGTCACCTGTTTCAGCCCCATCACTTCCCATATCTCTAACAAGAACTGAGGAGCTGATTTCACCCTGTGCATTGTCCATGTCAACAGGCCAAGAAAATAAGAAACCCAAGGTATTTTTTTGCATGTTGCATGATGCATGCTTATTTTGAAACAGGGAAGAATCTTTATTTTTCTCCAAGGCAGAAATATAGTGTTCATTCTGTGACTATAAGGAGGAAGAAAAAGTACAAGAGGGCTCCAGGACTTGGCATATTTGAATGTGTAAATGAATTATAATCCATATAGAATTATGTGTTTCAGTCATATCTTTTCATTTCAAAAATCCTCTTCCTCTTCCTAACTTTTTATATCTATGACTCCAAGGGTTTTATTTTCCCCCTGGCATAATATGAGTTATACCATTGGTCCTAATGACAGAATTAAAAGCAAGTAGTTGAGATTTGGGACTATGATATGTTTCTCATTGTTTATTAACAGGGACCCTAGCATGCATCCAAATATCCTGTACTGATGGAATAGTAGACAGGATTGATATAAAATGGAATATTTTCTTAGATCTAGGCCTATGATATAGCCAACCCCATTCTCCTGGCAGAAGGCAACTCTACACTAAGGCATGCTGGCTTCTCAACTATTCTCAAGTAATTCAGATTGTGGATCACCCACACTCAGAATTTGCTAGGTGTTATATCAATAAAAGGAAACAATTAAAGTGCCTGCATAAGAAGGCATGGTGATTTTCAGCTCCGTATGTTGAAATACTATAGTTTTAGAGCTTTGAAATATCATGGAGAGTATGTTTCACTGTCACTTTTCAGATGAAGAATGTCATGTTGAAGGGATAAAGTGATCTTCATTGTCTTGTAAATGATGTTACAATGCAATGCAAGTCAAAGCATGCATTAAATACCTACTATATGTGTTCCACTACTGTACTAGCTTTCTTTGAAGTGTGTGTGGTTTCTTTTAAAGAGAAGTAAGAGATAATGTTTTTTTGTCTTAGAACAATTCAATTTTAATCAGTGGAAAAAGATACACAATTTGGAGAAGCTATATATAGTTATTAAATCTACAATACAGCTAGAAAACCAGTATAAGGCAAAATTAATTGTGTAAGTCAGATTATAAATAATCAACTGAGTTCAATATAGCAGGAATACTGTGATGGAACATGGTTACTGAGAGAAGCTATCAAAAACATGAGGCCTGTGGGAGATGTTTAGGATTTAACTTAATGAAGAGGAAAGGAGTTGGCATTTCAGAAATAAAAAACAACCTGACCAAATATACAGAAGATAATCCTAGAAGGCTGTATGTGGAGACTTAAGATGATTGGCCTTATAATCTAATAGTAATAATAGCAGTATCAAATGCTTTCTGTGAGTCAGAAACTATGCTAATATGCAAAATAGTTGAAAAATTAATCAATGGATTGCATCAGTTAAATTTTATAATCATATGGAGTTGGCAATACTATTTTCCCTATTTTGTACACCAAGAAACTGAAGTTCAGTGAATAACTTGTCCGGGTCATGGGTCTGGTACAGAGCTAGCATTTATATAATATTAAGTCTGCTGATTCTTGAAGCCATTTTCTTTATTACTATGATTTATTGCTACAAAGAAATAACTCATGTTAGCAATTTAGGCTGACTTTATAATTCTCATGAAGAAAATCATTATTAAGGAATAATGCCCAGAATTCACAATTTATATAATTTTGGGGTTATTTAAAAAATGTATTGGAGATTAAGTCATTGTATTTTAAACACTGAAAGCAAATGAGATGGATAGAATTTAACTTTTCTGTGATTCTCAATTGAAAATTCTACTTATTTGAGGTAAATTGACCTGTTTGTTATATTTTATATACATATATGTGATTATAAAATTTATCTGTAGAGTATTTAAAACAAACTGACAATCTAATTGTTACTGTTTCTTGAGTGTATTAACTATTATTTTTTAAACCATGCCGCTATATACTTAAATTATTCTTTTTGTGTGTGTAAAAATGGTTTTACTCTAGAAGCTGTTTCAAAGTATTTCTATGTGTGTTTCACTGCACTTTTTGTTTTCTCCTGGTTTGAATATAGTCAGACAGTTGGAAGACGGCAAGCCTTCAAAGGGCTTTTAATACATTAAAGGCCTATTTATTGAAGACTTATTATTTTTTGGCTCTCTTCCTACACCCAACATTGAAAAATTTTCAGCATTTGCTCTTTTCTTTTAAAAGAATTTCCAAGTAAAAAAATTCAAAGAAATGCAAGGTAAATTTGATGAAAAGGAAAATAAGAAGAATGATTATAATTTAACTACCAGTAAAAATATCAATTGATGACCGGGCGCGGTGGCTCACGCCTGTAATCCCAGCACTTTGGGAGGCCGAGGTGGGTAGATCACGAGGTCAAGAGATCGAGACCATCCTTGTCAACATGGTGAAACCCCGTCTCTACTAAAAATACAAAAAATTAGCTGGGCATGGTGGCACGCGCCTGTAATCCCAGCTACTCGGGAGGCTGAGGCGGGAGAATTGCCTGAACCCAGGAGGCGGAGGTTGTGGTGAGCCGAGATCGCGCCATTGCACTCCAGCCTGGGTGACAAGAGCGAAACTCCGTCTCAAAAAAAAAAAAAAAAAAAAAAAAAAAAAAAAAAAGCTTCTTATGGGTAAAATTTATAATAACTTCTACAAAAATAGACTAGCATGGACTCTGAGACCATGCTATTCTTTTTCATGTTTATTTTCTCTTTGCATCTTGCTATATTATCTCTTAAGGTAAAAGTCAAGTTAGCCCACTTTTTAAAAAAATTATGAAATATTATTTTCAGAAATTGTAACTTGAGTGTAAAAATTTATTAAAATTGATGTGGAATAGGTAAATCTTATCCTGATGTCTTTTGATGTTTGACTGTTTAAATTGGTAACATTATTTTATAGACTGACAGGAAGAAATAGACAAAAGCTGTGTGATATTGAAGAATTTATGATGTGCTTTCATGGGTTGTTTCTTGTCTTTTTCCTTCTGGTATGGTATGAAGCTGAGCACAGGGCTCTTTTTGAAATCAAAGAGCTTTAGATTTAGGTCAGCTTTACTCACTCCCAGATTCTGAAATAATAGCGGTCCTATGATACAGATGGCCATCTGATTAAAACATGAATGCTTGAAAGATATTAGTTTAAAGTCTGGGCCCTACTGTCCTTTGATATTAAAATAAAATGGAATAACCATAGTATGCTGAGCTAAATTCAGATATAAAGTGTATTTGATGTTTCTTTTTCATAGATAAAATTTTAAAGTTCTGAATGTGCTTGCATTTGTATGATATAATTGCTGTGATATGTTAAAGTCAGATGTAGTTTAAAATACTATTTCACATTATAATCATGGCTTTAGACAGGATGGGTGTTTGCTGCTCAGTCTGCTGTTTTTTGTTTTTTTGTTTATTTTTGAGACAAGGTCCCACTGTGTCGCCCAAGCTGCAGTGCAGTGGTGCAATCTTGGCTCACTGCAACCTCTGCCTCCTGGGTTCAAATGATTCTCCTCCCTCAGCCTCTCAAGTAGCTGGGATTATAGGTGTGTGCCACCATGCCTGGCTAATTTTTATATTTTTAGTAGAGACAGGGTTTCAACATGTTGGCCAGACTGGTTTTGAACTTCTGACCACAGTAATCACCTGCCTTGGCATCTTAAAGTGCTGGGATTACAGGTGTGAGCCACCATGCCCAGCCTACTTTTTGATCAACATCTATATTGTCCGAGCCTTTTTTTTTCCCTTGAAAAAGACTGAATGTTATAAAATCCACCCATGGAGTTGTCTCTGGGTCCCCAATCTGTTCTGCCTTCATTTATAAAAGAATTTAAATTTTTGAGACTGACTCAAGATGGCGCGGTGAGAACAACCCAGGATTGAAGCTCTCGGTGAACTACGGAGGGTGAGTCAGGGCCGCATTTCCAGATGGATCTTTGTTGCCCACAGAACAGGGAAATTCCCAGGTATAAAAGAGACATGGGATGCCAGTGCAGCGGTTTTTGCTGGTGCAGCTGGTGGCTGGTGCTACAGAGCAGCGGTGCTCCACAGCGCTCCGCACAAAGCACACTGTTCCAGGTGCCCTGTTTAACCAGCAATCTGAGACTTGAGAGGGCAGATGGGCATATCCATCTGATTGAACGGGACTTGGACAGTGAGCCAGGCCAGGAGATTTCAGGGAAACGGTGTTTGGGCCAGCGCAGTGGGACAAACAAAATGGCAATTTCAAACACTCCGGGTGGAGAGTTTCACTGCGGGCACAGCTGAACCCATGATGGTGCAGCTCGGTGCGGGAGGGGCGTCTGCCATTACCGAGGCAATCCATCCCTACTGAGGTTACACTCCTATTGCTGAGGCAACCCGCCACAACAGAGAGACTCCGCCGCAGGGTGTAGCCCGTGGCAGCAGGGCGGAGACTGCAGCAGCAGGGCAGAGCCGGCAGCAATAGGGCGGACCTCACACCAGCAGGGCAGAGCCTCGGCTGGCAAATAGTGACTAGACTGCCTCCTAGCTGGGCGGGACAGTGCAATGGACACTCATAAAGAAAGCCCCAAACCCCCAAGACAGAGCATCTGAGAAAAAAAGAGTTTTTTTATGAGTTCTGCTGCAGCAGAATTAAACGTAGCAGCCTAACAGCCCTGAATGAACAACAGAGCTCACAGCTCAGCACTTGAGCTCCTATAAAGTACAGACTGTCTCCTCAAGCAGCTCCCTGACCCCTCTATATCCAGAAGACTGACATTTGGCAGGCATCATTCTGGGACAAAGATAGCAGAAAGAAACTGATAGCATCCCTCACTGTTCTGCAGCAGCTATAGGTGCACCCCAGAAAAGCAGGGCCTGGAGTGGACCTCAGCAGTCGTACAGTGGAGGGGCTAGACTGGTAGAAGGAAAACCAAGTAACAGAAATACTTCATCATCAACAATCTGGGCATCCACTCAGAGACCGACCCAATCGAAAAGTCAGCAACTACTCAGATGACAGGTGGATAAATCCACAAAGATGGGAAGAAACCAGCACAAAAAGGTGGAAAACACCTGAAACCAGAACACCTTGCTTCCTATAAAGGGCCAAAACTCC